TCACTTCTATCACTTTCTACTGGTCAAGTCACAAGACAGGCACCTCTGATAGTAACTGGGGCAAAGTCCCATGGCAGGAGGCACGGTGACTTGGGGAGGGGTGGAGAATGGGGCACACTTAGCCATTGGTCTACCATAAAGGGGGGCTTAGCAGTCTCTCTCTGTGGCTCCAGCCACTGAGGAGGTGGGTACTGGGGTCTTGGTGCTTAAGGGCCGCTGACTGACCTCCCCAATATGGGGCTTCCAGTAGATGGGGGTGGGACAGTGGTTCAGTCTCAGAACTTAAGCCCATGTCCCAGGCAGTATTGCAGCACAGGTGCTAGCTCAGGGTAGCCATCCCAGGAGGTTTATTGAATGACTAAATGACCTACATCAGGCAGCCCAGAGAGACAGTACCCAAGCCTCCTTCTTGGGTGCAGGCCTGGCTTGGGGTGGAGGGTGTCTCCACTTGTGGGATACTTCCCATGTGAGCCAGGAGTGGAGGACGCAGAGACCTCCCATCTCACCCCCTCCATGGAGACCCTCTTCCCTGCACTCATCAGTTGCTGTCAGCCCAGGATGTGTCGCCATGGAAACTGCTTGGCAAACGCTGGCAGGCAGAGGCGGCCAACAGCAGCTTGAGCTACCGAGCTCTAGGCGCCCGTTGGAGTGACATCTCGGGCAGCATGAGCAAGCACACCTGGCCGTGTGTGGCACGTGTGTGGTGAGCGGGGACGGGCAAGCAAGGGTGGGCATCTGGGCACTGGTGGTGTGTTGGAACCAGTCCAAGTGTGCCTGCTGCGTGTGTTTGCATATGCTCGTACGTGTGCGCGCTCCTGTGTGTGTGAACTGAATGAGCTGTGTCTGTGCACGTGTTCCCACGGCTGCCTGGGGCACTGGGTGTGTGCAGAGTCAGGGCCACGCTACAATGTACGGCCGTGTGGCCCCCCTCGGTTGAGTGTTCACTGTGCGCTGGGCATTGACCCAGGTCCTGGCAAAACGAGATGGAAGTGGCCGCTGCCCCTGTCCCCCACCTGAAGTTCCAGGCCGAAGACAGCTGCTGACCAGGTGATTACAGGTGTCGATGGACGTGAGTGACGGGAGGGCTTCCGGGAGAAGGCGGCTATTGGGCCTGAAACCTGCTATGGAGGGGGAAATGTCCAGGCATGGCAGGAGGACAGTGCTCTGGGCATCAGGCACAGCCCAGGCTGGGGCCCAGAGGCTGGAGAGGACTAAGGAGAGATGAGCAGAGGATGGTCACGAGGGGCGGTGGCCAGAGCACGTGTGGCCCTGACGAGGTTGGGCCTCTCCCTGTCTTAGGAAGCCCAGCTAAGGAGGGGGTACAGGGACAGGCACTCCTTCCAGAGGGACGGCACAGGGGGAGGGGGTGCGTGGCTGGGAGGACAGAGCTGGGGAAGGTGGGATGGGGTAGGGGAGGTGGCCAGGGCCCCAGGGGCTCCCGGGAGAAGGTGACCTTTTTTGGGACCAGGGGAGTCTTTGACAGGCTTACTGTTGGGTGATGGGGCTTGGGAGGGTGTGGAGGCTGCAGCAGGCTGGGGTTGGGGTCATCATGAGGGACTTTGGAGGATGGTGCTCCTTGGTGACTGTGGGCACAGGGGCGGGGTAGGGGCTGGGACAGTGCAGCTTCCTGGGGCCTAGGGGACCTCTCCAGGTCCTGGGCATTGCCTAAGCCCCCCCCCCCATTCAGCCAGGCGGGGTGATGGCCCCTGGAGCAGCAGGAGGCCAGGCCCTGGGGACCCCAGAGCAAACCTGCAGTGTGGAGAGGGCTTCCTGTGCCCACCCTCCCCACGCTGAGGGGTGGGCTACCACGGGGCCGACTTGGGATGTCCTGGCCTCTCGGCCTGAGGATCCCTCCTCCAGCAGCCACCCCAGAGCAGGGCCACCTGGTGCTGCCACCGGGTATTCCATGCAGACAAAGCTGCTGGACTAATGGGTCAGAGGCCTGGTGCTGCCACAAAGCAAGGACCTCTCAGGCAGGGCTGGGCATGCAGGGCTAGGGCCCTGTCCCACTACACTCGGGGTCCACACCCCGTGCTCACTGCCCCTGCACTCTGTGCCTCCCTGGGTCTCTCCTGCCCACCCATAGGGTGAAGGAAGTCCTGTGGGTCTCCCCAGAGGGAGGGACACCCAGGTCTCCAGAGTGTGACCTCAGCGGGGCACCCTGGCCAAATGACCACACACTGGGCTTTGGAACCCGCATGACCATCAAAGGTGAGTGACAGGCAGGAGCCTCGGAGGGGGCAGGCTGCCATGCTCCCGGCCTCCCCTGGCTGACCCCATCTGTCCTGCAATGGCTGAGGAAGCAGGTTCCAGAGAAGCAGCTAGGACTCTCCACCGTGGCAGCTGCACAGGATGCAGCTCAGAGCTGAGAACCCCGGGGATGGTCAGCGCCACCCTGCCTGACAATGTTGTTGTTTGGGGGACCCCAGGTAGGGGCTGCAGGACCACCTCCAGGCAGCCCAGAGACAAAGTGAACCCCAACAGGGACAGATGTCCCAGGTGTTGGGAGGGCACGGGTACCCTGCTCGGGGAGGGGTCTGTTTCAGCGGATCCCTCCTGGGCCACTCTTCTGTTTCTGCTTGAAAAGCAACAGGTGGGCACGGTCCCTGCCCTGACTATACAAAACCAAGAGTGAGGTTCAGGGAGGGGGGAGGGAGATGGTGACGGTGCTGGGGGACCCGCAAGGTGCAGGCAGGAGAAACAGACCCAGGAAAACTAGGAAGGTGGGGCTCCTGGATGCCTGGGCCCATCCTCATCCCCTGACCTTGGCCTACTCTGGGGCCTGGGTGATAGAGAAAGGACCACAGGTGCAGCCAGGAGGGGCCAAGTAGCTCCCCCTCCACATGCAGAGCAGCTAAGGGCCTTCAGTGTGTGCATGTTGAGGGGTGGCTCTGCATTGAGGTCCCTGAAGCTCCAGCCACCCCAGTCACCCTGGCTGTTCTCTGGGAAACAAGGGCTTTCAGAGCTGGGGGACCTGGAGCGAATGCTAATCCATCAGCTCAAAGGGTAGCTTCAGGCTGGGAGCAGACGACTGGGCCCCAGGCCAGGGCCAGCTGGGCCTGTCTGGGAGCCCTGTGCCCCCCATCACTGCAGCATGATGCTCCTTGTGCCCAGGGGCTTCTGTTCCCCCTCAGGCCTGAGAAGGGTCTTCATCTACTGTAGGATGGGGTGGGGGCTGGAGCTCCAGCAGGTTGGGGTCCCTGGCACCCAGCTGGAGCTGACACTGGGTGGGCCCTCAGTAAATAGTCCCTGGAAAAATGGCTGCTTTGGGAGTATGAAGCAGATGGAATGTTTGCATTCCAGGTCAGCTTCTTGATCTGGAGAGACAGGGAGGCCTGGGGAAACTGAGGCATATGGGAGCCCCTGGATTGGAGGAGACCTTGACCCTGTGCCCCTGCCCTATTTGTGGCCCTGAGTCTTACAGAACAGCACCGTGGCCCTGCCCCACCCTGCATCCCCTGTCTGGCCAGGACTCAGTCCCCACCGCCTCCCATCTAAATATCACCTGCCCTCCCCCGCCTCCCCCTCCATCCCTCACTGCTCCCAGATGGCCTCAGTATAAGGCTGGGCCCTCCCTAACCCCTTTGTTCTGATCCCTGCCTCCTTGCTCTCAGCGGCTCCCACCCGGGGTGGTGCCTCATCCTGTACCACATCACCCAGCGGCTCCCACCTGCCCAGAGGCTCAGCACACTCTGGGGCCCCTCTCTCTGGCCTGAAGCCCTCTCTGCCCATTGGCCCTGGCTCATCTCTCAGGCCCATCTACATGGCACATGGGCAAGAAGCGGTCCTCAGTGCCCATCATCCCCTGCTGTCCCACCCTTGCCTGCTGGCCCTGTAGCTGGGGCTATAGGGAAGCCAGGGCCGAGGTGCACAGAGACGTTAAACATCATCCTGTCCCAAAGCTCAGCACAAAGTATTGCTGAATGAATGGTTGCCCTGCTTTAAAGACCTACTATGTGCCAGAACATTAATAGTCTTTTTTTTTTCCTAATCCTTCTAACAATCTGAAGCATTTTCCTGGTTTTCAAATGGGATGAGTTTCCTGTGGCTGTTATACAGGTTGACTTACAACAAGAGTTTATTTTCACTTCTGGAGGCCATAAGTCTGATGGGGGTAGAGCCACACTCTCTTTCTTTTTTAAAAAATTTAATTAAATTAATTATATGTTCAACATCTATAGCAATTAGAGAAATGCAAATCAAAATCAATCTAAGATTTCATCTCACACCAGTCAGAATGGCAGTGATCAAGAATACAGACAACGGGGCTGGAGTTGTGGCTCAGTGGTAGAGCGCTCACCTAGTGCAGGTGAGAAACTGGGTTCAATCCTTGGCACCACATAAAAATAAATAAATAAAAATACAGGCATTGTGTCCACCTACAACTAAAAAAAAAATTTGAAAAAAAAAAGAATATAGACAACAATAAATGTGGGCGAGGATGTGGGGAAGAAGGTACACTCCTACACTGCTGGTGGGACTGCAGATTGGTGCAACCACTCTGGAAAGCAGTATGGAGATTCCTAAGAAAACTTGGAAGGGAACCACATTTGACCCAGCTATCCCACTCCTCAGTCTATACCCAAAGGACTTAAAATCAGCAAACTATAGTAATGCAGCCACATGAATGTTTATAGCAGCTCAATTCACAATAGCTAAACTGTGGAAGCAACCTAGATGCCCTTCAGTAGATGAACGGATAAAGAAACTGTGGTATAGATACACAATGGAATATTATTCAGCATTAAAAGAGATTAAAATTTTGGCATTTGCAGGTAAATGGATGGAGTTGGAGAATATCATGCTAAGCAAAGTAAGCCAATCCCAAAAAACCAAACGTAGAATGTTCTCTCTGATAAGTAGATGCTGATCCATAACGGGGTGGGGAGTGATGGGAAAAATAGAGGAACTTTGATTGGGCAAAGGGGGAGGGAGGGATAGGAAGGGGACATGGGGGCAGGAAAGGTGGTGGAATGAGATGGACATCATTATCCTAGCTACGGGTGTGACTGCACACATGGTGCAATGCTACGTCATGTACAACCAGAGAAATGAAAAGTTGTACTGCAATTGTGCACGATGAATCAAAACGCATTCTGCTGTCATATATACCTAATTTAAATAAATAAATTAAATAATAAGAGTTTAATTTAATTAATTTATTTTATGATAGAATGCATTTTGACATATTGTACACAAATGGAGCACGACTTCTCATTCCTCTGGTGGTCCGTGGTGCAGTCACTCTGGTAGTGTAATGGTACATGCGTGGAGGGTAACAATGTCTGTCTCACCCTGCTATCCTTCCCATCCCACATCCCCACCCCACCCTCCCCTCCGGGGCTTCCCTCCACACAAACCAAAGCTCCTCCATTCTCCCCATCCCCCACCCCACTATGGCTCAGCATCTGCTTATCAGAGAAAACATTCCAGCCTCCTCTTGGGAAGGCTCCAGGGGAAGGTCCTTCCTGCCTCTTCCGGTTTCTGGAGTCTCCAGGCATTCCTTGGCCTGTGACCTGGAGAAGTTAAACATCCTGTCCCAAACATCACTCCATCTCTGCTTCCATGGCCTCCTGCCTCGAGACACTGTGGTTTCTATCCCTCTCCTTTTTTTTTTTTTTTACTAGGGATTGAACCCAGGGCTACTTTACCACTGAGCTATGTTCCTAGACCTTTTATTTATTTTATTTTGAGACAGGATCTCCCTAAGTTGCTCAGGCTGGCCTCAAACTTGGAATCCTCCCTCCTCGGCCTCCTAAGTATGGTATTACAGGAAGGCACCACCATGCTCAGCTTATTTTCTATCTCTTATGAGGACACTCTCAATGGTCTGAGGCCTGATCCAGAGTTATCTCCTCTTGAGGTGCTTCCTTTATATCTGCAGAGACACTATTCCAAATAAGATCCCACTCTGATCTTATATGGGTGGGCACATCTTTTTGGGGCCACTGTTCAACCCACTCTGGGGAAACAGGTGTAGGAAGGTGTAGCAGCTTCTCTAGGCTACTAAGCTCTGGTAGCCCAGATTTACCCCCGTCACAGGGTGTCGATGAGGGTGAAGGTAAGGTGGCAGCCTTGGCCCATCTGGTTGGAAGGACAGGGGTTCCCATGTCAAGGGAGCAGACTCTGGCTTCCACCGGAGGGGTCTGGAACCCAGCTTCTGGGAGGCCCGTGTGTGCTGTGCATAGACTGGGTTGTCTGAGGGGGCGTCGGCCTGGGTGCCAGCCACTGTGTGGGCCTCTAGTCTACCAGGGCACCCAGTTAGGGCCTTGCTCACCTAGAGGTTCAAGTTCAAGCTCCAGCCAGGCTGCTGAAGGCCTGACACCCAGTGACTCTCCAGTGGCTGCAGCCTGTCCCCACTGTGGCAGGTGGGGGCAGGGATTCCTAAAAACCAGATTTAGAGTCCAACATGGACCTTTCTCAGGTTCTGAGTTTTTTATTCCCAATAAGAAACACACGAGAAATGGCACATCAGAGGGTCGCCTTTTGAGCCCGGATCTACCTGCAGGAATTTATGCCAAGGCGGAGGACAGCTGATACCTGCATAATGACCTATAGAAACAGGGTTGCTTATCAGTTATCATAACAAACTGGAATTGGGATAAATCAAAATGTCCTAAAGCAGACGACTCTATATATAATATCCCTGAGGCAATATTTGGCATATGCTGCTGACTGGTGGCTATTGACAGGGAGGCTAGAGTGGACTATGTGGTGGGAATCCCTTTAAAAATGTATTTCAGTGTGGAGGGGAAAAAAATTGTCGGGAGGTAGCCTGACAAGTTTTATTCTTTAGGAATTCCCGAACTGTCTGCCATGGATATTTACTGTTGTATCATCATTTCTCGAGGCTTAAGGAAAATTCCTTTACAGTGTGGAGGACGGTGGTGACACATCCTTCAGCCATGCATGGGGGAGTTTTTGCAGAATGATGCAGAGGGTGGGCGGGCTGCTTGCAAGGGCCCCAGGAGGCTGGTGATGATCCAGAGAGCAAAGGAGTGGCTTGGGGAAAAGGCTTTTGGACACCAGCTAGAGCCATGATGCCACTAAACACAGGCTTTACCCTGCAAATAGAGTCCCTTCCACCTCTGGGCTGCCTGACAGGGGCCAGGGCCAAGCTTATAGCTGGCTGTAGGAGGCATTGGAATGCACAGTCTTTTTTTTTTGGGGGGGTACTGGGGATTGAACTCAGGGGCACTTGACCACTGAGCCCCATCCCCAGCCCTATTTTGTATTTTACTTAGAGATAGAGTCTCACTGAGTTGCTTAGGGCCTCACTTTTGCTGAGGCTGGTTTTGAACTTGTGATCCTCCTGCCTGAGCCTCCCGAGCTGCTGGGGTTACAGGTGTGCGCCACTGCACCTGGCAGGAATGCCCATTCTGATGACGCTGACTATGGCACTAACAAGAGGCTGCTGACTCGTTGTGACACATGGACACTGGAGTTTGAGGCCGAGGGAAGGTGGCTTTCCTGTGACCTTGAGAATCCAGCTCACTGTCTGGCCAGCACCCCCAACCTGCCTGACTCTAGATACCACCGGGAAGAGACAAAGTCCTTCTGTGAGCTGGCAGTGGCCAGTATGTTAGGTCATCAGAGAAGGGACTCCCACCTCCCAAAGCACAGGGTACATATTGGGAAAGCTCCCAGAGGGGACCAAGCCGGTGGGCTGGACCATCCAGGTGACCTTGGCACAGTGTGGTGCCCTTACCTGTTCTTAACCTGGGACTTAGCATAGAGATGGGGCTGATTGCTCCCTGAGTTAACAGCCCCAACAGATGCTCGATCAGATTCGAGGAAATTGAGAGCAGAACAGCATAGGCTTATTGTCCTAACAGTGTCCCCTAGGGGCTCCGTCCCCTCCCAGTGCTGGCATTCTAACTTTCCTTCCTAGGGAGTGCCTCTGGGGGCCTCTGGCCCACCTGCTTGTCAGCCAGGGTGGCTGCGATGGGCACAGAGATGGCTCAGATCCTCTGTCCTGTGGATGAGCCATGGCAGGGTTGAGGACCATGGCCTTGGGGAGCAGGGAGCAGAGCCACAGCTCCTGCCTCCAGGACTGTCTCCTTTGCCTACTGAATTGGGCTCAGCTGTGGCATCTGCAACCAAAAGCAGAGGAAAGGACTGGGACACTGGGCCTGGGTGAGGGTGGGGAGGCCAGACTCTCTGGAGGCTCGGAGGTCCATGTGAGATCCCCTGACCAGTCCTTGTCTGTGGACTAGCTTAGCTCTAGGAGCCCAGAGCCCTTGAATGGCTAAGTCCAAAGGCTCCTCCACACCCCACCCTGGGGGTTGCCCGGAGCCACACTAGAAGGGTGGCCCTTTAGAGGAAGGCCAGGAAGGGGAGCAAGGCCCCCCTGCGGAGCCAGGTGTTCACAAGACCCTCCGGCCTTCCCTTCTGGCGGGGAGGGAACTGCAGAGGGCCTCAGGCTCTGCACTGGTGGCCTCAGATGTGTTGTGTCCCCTCAGCTGTCTGTCTCTGAGACCAGCCCTCTTCGGGGAAGCAGCACATTAGTTGAATACCAACAGCCTCCCCTTACTATTTATCAATCTGAGCTCACACAGGAGCCCTGTCTTCAAGCAGGGCGCCTCCCAGGACTCCAGACCCCAGGAAGAAGATCTGCACAACCATACCGAGGTTTGGTGTGGTGGGCCCTGTGAGGGGATGGTGAATTGTTGCCAGAATGCTGCCCAAGTCCCTGCAGGGGGCTCCCTGGGGCATCCTGAACAGCTGGCCTTAGAGGAGCTGAGGGTGGGGCAGGACTAAGGATCCATGTGGCCCCCAAGCAGACCAGAGCTGCCCCATACTCCTCCTTCCTAGGGAGGCGGACTAAATGGGTGCTTCTGATTCCCCAGTCTTGGGGTCCCAGAGGCATCCAGGGGCCCCACTGAGCCTCATGCCTCTTCCAGTCCTGGAATAAATGACCATGACTGGAGGTCAATGGAAGCACTACAGCAGGTCCATAAATCGATCCAAAGGGTTCACGTCTTCTCCTTTCACCACAGTCAGTGAACGCCCACCGTCTCCCAGGCATGGGTACTTGTTGGCCCATTCCAAGTACCCATGCTTGGGGGTCATGGACCTACCAAGTTGCGGCCTGTGCTTCTGATGCAGTGGGAGGGGTGGTGGGTGATGAGCATAAACCCCAGGGGCTGCATTCAACCCAGTGGTGATTCAGCCCAGGGGTGGCCTTCTGAAGCCAGAGAGTTCAGCCTTGGGAAAGAAGGTTCCAGAAGGTGAACAAGAGCCCAGGGGGCTGATGAGGGGCTGTACTCTGCGCTTTTCCTGTCTACCCTTTTCTCACCAATCCAAAAGGGTGGCTGTCAGGCTTGTCAGGAGCCCACCAACATGAGATAAGGCGTTCTCAGCACTGGGCATGTTGGGTGTGGCGTGGAGAAAGCGCTTCAGCGAATCATTATTACATGTGACGCCCAGGACAGATAAATGAGGGGAAGTGCCAGGGGCAGTGATGAGGGACTAAGTTGTAGGTCCTATGTCAGGTCACACCTCCACATTCAGGACCTCACCTGTCCCACCTGGGGAGTGCTGGCTTGGCGCTGTCGCCTGGAGGTGAATCCACGAAGCTTCCCCCCCTCGCTGCTTGGCTTTCTAAGATCTCAGGTCCCGCTCCAGGTATTTCGGGGAGAACTAGGTCGGCCTCGCAGCTTTCCCAGCGCGGGATGGCGAGGGAGCGCAGGGAGGGGTGTGGCTCCGCCCTGACTGGCCCTTGTCTCCTCCCTCGGGTTCGGCGGCCCCAGCACACTTTGGACCCGGTCCCGCCTCGGTCCCTGCCCCGCGTGCTGACGTCACGCCGGGACTTCTTCGGTCTTGTTGGCCCATTCCAAGTACCCACGCTGTCCTCCGGCAGCTTCAGAGAGCGCGGGGCTGCGAGGTAGGGGCGCGCGGACAGGACTCCGGGACCGAAAGCGCACCCCGCGCGGGGTGGGCAGGGCGGCGCCGGGCACCCCCAGACTGCACCGCAGCGTCGTCTCCACCCGCGGTGTGTCCGGTGGTGTGGGCGTCAGGGGCGCACTTGGGCAGGGATGGGGAGCCCGAGGACCTGGCGCACCCAGGGAGGGTTTGGTGCAGTGTCGCGCTTGGTGCCTGGGCGGGACAGCTCGGGTCCCAGAGAGAAAGCCCAGCGAGGGAAGGGGCACTGCATTTACTTTCCGCTAGCGATGTCCCAGGCTGGGGTGACAGTGCTGTTGACTTTTCTCCACACAGGCAGTGGGAGAGGCCAGGGCAAGGCTCCCAAAGAAGGCGTTTTCTGGCCTCGCGGAGCCGGGCGGTGTGGGATGGCCCCCGGAGGCGCGCGGAGAATCTTGCATCTTGCGCGGGTGGGGTTGGGTGCCCGCTTACTGACCTGTGTGTGGCAGAAGGGGCTTCAAAGGCCACCGGGCAGTTGATGGAGAAGGGATTGGATGGAACACCTCCGGGAAAAGAGGGCAGCATCTCAATCAGAAAAGCATGGGGGAGGGCTCACAGAGTCACAAACTTTACCCACGTGCCCCTAGGCAAGGGGTCAGGGTGGAGTCTGAAGCTTAGCCAAGTGGCCCCTTCCCTGCCCCAGAAACTACCTGGGTGGAATTTGAATTCGGGGCTCACAGGTGAGGGGAGAGACGCACGAAGTGGGGGTCTGCTCCTGAGGTCTACGCCCTGGGTTTCCCTCGCAGCACATGGAAACCTGGCAATACAAAGCCCCAGCCCTGTATATCTCATTCTGCATGGGTCTGCGCAAAGCGCCTTGAAGGTTTTGGCTGATGAATAGCGTGTTGCAGCTGCTGGGTGCTCTGCAAAGTGTATTCAGAATAACAAGAATCAGAGCATGATTTCTTGCCCGAAGGCTGGGCATCTGTCTAGTCAGATGGGGCAGAACAAGTGCCCAGGGCTTCGCAGTTTGAGCCACCTGACCTTGATTACCTGGCCAATCAGGCTACCCTGGCTCAGTGGCAGACTCTCCCTGAGGAGGAAAAGCCTGGACAAGGACATGCCCTTCCCTAGTCTTGGGGCAAAACAGGCAGGAGAGAGAGGGAGGTGCCCCAGACGAAGGGAATCTGGCTATTTGGCTGCGATACCAATAGCAAGCAGCTGGGCAAAAAAGTCATTGCTTTGCAGAAGGGACAAGTCCCACCCTCTTCTTGCCTTTAGAGGGTCTCTGTCTAGAGCCCCTGAAGCATGCTAGGAGTTGGGGTTCCACTGTGAGGCATGACACTGAAACCAGGTGTGTGGTGGCAGCTAAGTCATTCATGTCTCTGAGCATCAGTTTCCCCATCTGAAATACAGTGGCACCTGCAGCTCTGTGAGGTCCTGAGGATTGAGTGATGCAGGTGGCGCAGCAGGTAGTGGCTGACCTTGGTACATGGCGGCTACTGTCCTGATGATAATTAGCAGGAGAGGGCCCAGGCCATGGCTAGGGCCCAGTTTTGGAGGTTTCTCTTTCGGAGCCATCACTGTGGCCAAGATGGTGGATTGGCAGGTAGCAGAGAGAGATGGAGAGCTCCCTCCCCACAGGCACCTCTGGCTCCAGGGATAATCTTCACCTCCAGCTTCGGGCTCTGTGCGAGGACTTGTCTTGTGCAGAAATGACCTGGCAGGGCACAAGGCCTTTGGTAGCAGCTGAGGGTGGGGAAGATGAATAAGGCCACACAGGCTTCTTGAGATCTGGGTACAGGGTCTCAGAGAGAGTGACATGGGGGGGGACAGAGGGGGTCACACTTTCATGCCCAATGTGGAACCACTAAGGGAATAATTCAGAGGTAGTGAGTGGCACTGCTTCTGGCTCCAGAGTGGGGGTGTAGGTGTTTGTGAGCGTTAGGAAGGACTAGGGCAAGTGGGGCACTTGTAGGCAGGTCCTGTGACCGGCATCCAGAAACCAAAATAGGCTGGTGAGATGCCGAAGGAGTCAGATGCTGGGTACATCTTGCTGCTCACAGAGCTGGACACCTCCTCCCTTCTGTTGGGTCCAACCAAAATCTGGGCAGGGAAGGCAGGAGATACCATGTCTGGGGGGAAACTGAGGCATGGTGGGGTTAAAGGTCAGATGACCAAGTTCATGCCAGAACCCCAGCTGGGGTTGAGGGCATTTGGCTTCCAGGGTTTTCTGCTCAGTCTCCTGGGGTCCCTGCTCATAGCCCACTGACTGCCTACTGAGGCTTGCTGGGGTGCTGTCTCCATACTCCCTGACATCTGGCTCAGCCTGGGGACAAGGCAGACTCCTAGAGCCCCTTCTCAAAGCCCACAGCCTTTACACTTCCTCCGACCGAGGTCAGAGTTCCCGCACAATGTGGCCATCCCTCCCTGACTTTGTCCCCTGTTCTTCCCTTTGTGCACTGCAGCCAGATGGCCAGCCTCCTCCTGTCCCCAGAACACATCTGCCTGTTGGCAGAGGGTGGGCTTCCCAGCTGCTCTCTCGGCTTGGGACACCCTCCATGCCCCTCTGGGAAGTAGCAGACTCACTCCCCACTTCTTCCCTTCTGACGAAGCCACTTTCAAGCCCTCTTGGAAATGGCCACAGGGTCCCGCACTCCTGACCCCCCCCCCAATTCTGCCTTTTCTCCTTCCAGTTTCATTTGCTATCTTCTAACTGACTTGCAACAATATTTACCTTCAATGCTTTTGCCACCTGTCCTGCCTCTCCAAGCCCCTTGAGACCACCCTGTCTCTTTTGTTCTAACAAAGGGCCTGGGGCACTTGGAAACTGCAGCAGTTAATATTCTGTGTCCACTTGACTGGGCTGTGACTGGGCTGTCTCACCTAGGCAGGTGAGATACTGTGGGTGTGTCTGTGGAGTGTTTCCAGTGACATCAGCAGTAGGATCTTGGGCTCTGTAAAGCAGACTGTTCTCTCCAATGTACTGGGCACCTTTCAGTCCCTTGAGGGTGGGAATACAGCAAAGGGCAGAGACAGGAGGGATCCACTCTCTTTTCTGCCTGAGCTGGGATTTCTCCCCTTCTCCTGCCCTTGAACTGGGACCTGTGGACAGAAATTCACTGCTTCCTTCCCCTGGTCCCAATCTGCTAGAGACAGCTCATGGGCCTTCATAGCCTCCTTAATCACAGAGCCAATTCCTCCTAATATATCTTAGCTGGGCCTGGTGGCAACTGTCATGGTTGGAAGGCTGAGGCTGGAGGTTCGAAAGTTCAAGGCCAGCTTCAGCAACTTATTGGGGCCCTAAGCAACTTAACAAGATCCCTGACTCAAATAAAAAAAGGGCTGGGGTGGAGCTCATGGTAGAGCACCCGTGGATTCCATCTCCAGTGCCACAACAATAAATAAACAAATAACACATTTTATAAACACACCTATAAAATGCTTCCCTCCTATTACTTCTGTTGCCCTGGAGACCCCTGTCTAGTACAACTGTTGGAAGAATGAATTGATGAACTGATAAATTCACATGTGCTCCTGTGCTAGGATCAGCGTGGTCTCCTTTGGAAACTCATGAGTCTCTTGGCTGCTTCTGAGTGTCTTGGGTCTTCCAAAGGGAGGGAGCCAGTGGAAATTCAATTCCTTGCTGTTCTTCCTTGCACACCCCTGTCCCCTGGGAAACTTGCCCATTAGGCTCTTCTCATTGCCATGGGTTTGATCTTCTCCCTCATTCATTCACCTGGTGGATTTTTTTTTCCTACACCCAGGAGTGAATTGTTCATTGTTTTGCAAAACACCAGTATTGCCTACGTGTCCTGAATAGGCACAGGAGCTAGAACTGTCCTGGAGTCTGTCAGTGGGCACAGGGTAGGGGTGTTTGGGCACGGGATCTGTGTGTTCTGATTGCACCTGATTCTTGTGAGTGCTGTGGCTCAGCTTGGCTCCACCTTTTCACCCTCCTGAACCCAGTACCCACAACCCTGGGCACTAATGCAACAAAGCCTTGCCAGGAACCCAGAGGGGTTTGTGCCCTGGGCAGTTATTTTATTTGTTGCTCTCTACTCAGAACTTTGAGGGCTGGTGGGAATGTCAACTAGCGTACCCCTTCTGGGAAGCGACTTGACAATACAAAGCAAGATGCTTTAAACCCCGGCACATGGAAACCCCTCTAGGAATCCATCTGGAGGAGAAGGAAACAGACTTGTGAGCAAATATGGCACTCTGATGTTTGGGGGGGCAGCCATTGAAAATGGCATTTTTATAGAATATTTAAAACTCTGGGATAATGCCATAAAGTACTAAGCAAAAGATATAAGATTATACAGTTGGAACTTCAGTTTGTTAAATATACACGGAAAGAAACTATATAAAGCTTGGTGTGGGAAGGATCTTGATGGAAATTTAATCCTGGAAGGGTCTTTCCTTTAAGATAGTGCTTTCCTCTGGAAAAAAAAAATCACATTTATGGACTTATATGTGCATGTATTATATACATCTGTGTATGTTTCCTTCCAAGGAAGGTTTATAAAGTGTGTACCCCAGACTTTCTGCTCAAACCTAAGTGTTTGAGTAGCTATAAATGTGTTTTTCAGATGAATGTTTTAAATTGGGTTAAAGAGAGTGTGGAGTCCTGGTTCTCATACAAAAAGGAGCCCCCTTCTGGTTTCCAAGTGGGGCTGGAGGCCCTGCTCTTGGTGCTCTGCAGAGAAGTGGGTTTTGTGTCTGAACTTCCTGAGTTGAGGATGGCCGGGGGCTGTCCCAACTTCAGTCCTTGTACCTCTGGGGCTCTCTGCTGTGACTTGTATATCTTCTCACCCCTGGCCTCTAGTTCCCCTCATCCCTGTCCGTCCTTTTATTACTGTTCCATAAGGGTCCCCCACCCAGCCTGCCCCTTACCTGCCTTTGCTGCGTCAGTCTCTGAACTGAGACATCAAGGAAGGCCCAAAGCAGCTGGTGGCCAGAGTCAAGTGCTTACTGACAGCTTTTCAGGTGTGTTTCTGACAAATACGTGGCTGCGCCAGTCCTTGTTCCTGGCTCAAAAGGACAGAGCAGGTGTCACAGTCAGCCGGCTGTCCCCGTAGTTCAGATCTGTTCCTTGCTTCTCTGAAACTCCTCATTTAGCTTGCATGCTGCCCCTGACCACCTAATTTGTGTTTCATACTCCTTGTGTGTGCCCTGGACACTTCTGGGTGGGGAGCCACTGGCGCTGCCTTCCTCCTCCATGTGCTTCCTGGGGACATGCACGGTTCTGGCCCGGAAGCTTAGGGTTGGGTTAAAGAGAGGTGCAGTTATGGCCCCACGGGATGGGGTGTACTCTGTGATCACAAAGAGAGTGGCTTCCAGTTTCTTGCATGGAGGAGCCCCTCTGGCTTTGCAGGGGCTCAGCACAAAGGGTGAGGTCTCTTCCTATGCCCCACTTCCTTCTTTTATTTATTTATTTATTTATTTATTTATTTATTTATTTATTTATTTAATTATTTTTGTACTAGGGATTGAACCCAGGGGCACTTAACCACTGAGCCACATCCCCAGCCCTTTTAATTTTTTATTTAGAGACAGGGTCTTGCTGAGTTGCTTAGGGCCTTGCTAAGTTGCTGAGGCTGACTTTGAACCTGTGATCCTCCTGTCTCAACCTCCTAAGCTTCTGGGATTACAGGTATGCACCCCCTTCTTTCCAAGGGCTCAGGGCACAGTTTGGGTGTATGATAAGGAGTGGGTCCCTGCGCTTCACGGGGATTCCAGCAGAGTGTGAGACCTGGAGGAGCATCCTGGCTTAGGGGAGAGGAGTCTTCTAGCTTAGTTCTGGATTGGGGACCCAGCCTGCCCGAAGGACAAAGAGAAGAGTGCCCTCTGTTCCTGGTTGGGGGGAAGTGCTGCATCCTGGGGCTCTGTAGAGCTCCCCTATGCCTGACACAGCAGGCCTGTGTGTGCCTAGTGGTGACTGCGGCATGCTCTATGTCCCCTGTAGGGTGTCCGCAGGCCTGGAGGTGCCCATGCCTTCCCTCGCTTTGCTAAGGAGGTCCAGTTCCTGGCAGGGCTGGGCCACGCAGGCTCTTGGCCCAGCATCCTTCTGTTGGGAACCCCTGGCAGCCACTTCTGTCAGTTCAAGGGAAGGTTCTAGAAGAGACGGTGATTGTCCCCTGGGCAGTTCATGGGCAGCAACAGGAGTTCCTGGGTGTGGCTACCATGCTGCAGTGTAGACAGGCCCAGGAGTTCAGCTTCGGCCCTCGGGCCCTGAAGGATGCGCTGGTCTCCAGTGACGCTGGCCTGCAGCAGCTCTACGCCTCGGCCTTCACCCCGGCGGAGAGGCTGTTCCTGTCCGAGGCCTACAACCCCCAGAGGACCCTCTTCTGCACACTGCTCATCCACTCGGCCTTTGACTGGCTGCTGAGCCACCCCGAGGCCCCTGAGGACTTCCAGACGTTCCACACCTCCCTGCAGCACCGGAAGCAGAGCCTGGCTCGGAAGCACATTTACCTGCAACCAATAGGTACAGGGAGGGGGCTGGAGCCGGGGAACCAACTTGGGCATAGCCCCAATTAGGGCTGGAATTAGGGCTGGTGGCATTGAGTGTGTTCGGAATTGGGGTGAGGCAGGGAGGCCCTGTTTTCCCCCACCCATCTTTGACACTGGTCAGAAAGCCTGGAGCCGTGGGACCATCCACTCTCAGGTGGGCATGGGGAGCAGGACTCAGGGACCCCCGGCATGGCTGCTGTCTTCCAGGGCTCTTCATTTGTCAAGAGATTGGGGGACACAGGGAGATCTGAGGGGCGAGAGAATAGCCCAGCCAGGTAATGGGGAGGATCAGAGGTGGGCCGGCCACTGTGCTGTTAGCATTCCAAGGCAGGTGGCCCCAGCCTGGCATAAGTGGCACTTGGCTTTGGAGAGGAATGTCAAGCTTCTGTCTGAGGTGTTGGTGTGTCACACCCTTCTGCACAGCCAGTCGGAAGAAGGTGGGCTTTGGCCTTGCCCTCAGTAGGCTAGTTGGCAGCCCCCCCAGGGTCCATGCCAGCCCCTGGGGTCCATGCCATCCCCCTCCCAGATGCTCAGGATCAGCATGCTGGAGGCTTCAGGGGTCTTGCTCTACATAATCCCACATCTGAGACTGCTCTTGACCCTGCGGGGCCAACCCTTTTTATGTGTCCTTGCTTATACCTCCGGGAGCCTCTTCCGACATGTGGACACATGGCACCTTGCCAAGATGGTCGGGAGGTCTGAGGTGGGCCTGGGTCCTGAATTTCTACCAGGTCCAGGCTGAGACCAAGGACTGGAGACCTCGAAACCATTCCCATGGCCTCCACCCTCGGTTGTGTCCATCTGTCCTCCTAGCATGCCATCTGGTGGTGTCCCCCCCCCCTGCCCTGCCAAGCCCTTGCTTTCCAGCGTGAGCCTACACTCCTGTTTCAACCAGGCTGACTTTTTGCAGCTGAGGAACATGCTTGCTTCTGCCACCCGCTGCTAGGGGGCCTCTCCTGGTCAGCTTATGGGCTTCTAGCAGCACTGTAGAAGTCCCTGCCTCCCTGAGTTTCACATGTGACAGTGATTCCTGTCCTTTGTTGTTTTTTTTTTTAATATTTTATTTTTTAGTTGTAGTTAGACACAATTCCTTTATTGTATTTATTTATTTTTATGTAGTGCTGAGGATCGAACCCAGGGCCTCGCACGTGCAAGGCGAGCACTCTACTGCTGAGCCCCAGCCCCAGCCCTGTTTTCTTTTTTGGTAGTGGGGATTGAATCCAGGGATGATTTACCACTGAGCTACATCCCCAGCCCTTTTTATTCTTTATTTTGAGACAGTCTGGCCTTGAACTTGGAATCCTCCTATCTCAGTCTTTGCGCCACAATGCCAGGGTTCCTGGCCTCTTGTCTGGGCACTGGCCTTGTTTCCCTGGATGGCCAGTATTGGTGACAGCTCCTGATGCTGCAGTCACAGACCTTTGGGGGCACAGTGGGGCTGACCAGCTGCTCTGCCCCCAGATCTGAGTGAGGAGCTGGCAGGATGCCCCTTGCTGGATCACCTGCGGAGCTGCGTGGAGGCCTTCTTCCTGGGCTTGAGGGTCAAGTGCCTGCCCTCTGTGGCGGCTGCGTCCATCCGTTGCTCCTCGCGCCCCAGTCAGGACTCTGGTGAGCGGCAGCTCCACACAGGTGAGCCAGGCTGGGGGCGGAGCCCAGACCAGGGCAGGGCCAGCAAGGCCCCATCCCACTGTGTAGCGAAAGGCCGATTCTGGAAAGAAAAGGGGAGGAAGGAGCTCCAGAGACAGAAGGAACTTGTTTGCTCTTCTGTGGGGCATCAGTTTTCCCCACCTATTGGACAGAATGGGAATAAGGAGTTCCTCTTCCTCCCCAGCAGTCTATGGAGTTGGCCCCACAGCTCAGGGCCCACTCCCAGAGTGTTCCCTGGGATGCAGAGCAGGTGAAGGGCACCTTTTGAAAGCTGCTCAGCTTTGCTCTAGACATTCACTTTGCAAGGACCTTCCTGTGGCCAGATGACCCGGTCCTTGAGGCCCTATCTGTGCCTTCAGGTGGTTGGCCTTTGGAGAGTGAGGCCAGCCGAGGAATGAGGCCTGAGTGGACAGGAGACTCAGATGCAAGCCCAGGGAGGTTCCCAAGCAGGTGCTCTCTGGCAAGAGTGGATCAGTGTTGTTCATGATCTTCATGTTCTGGGAACTGCTCAGCGTGGGCTTTCTTCACTGGCCTTTCTTCACTGGCCTGTGGCCCACACTGCCACAGGCTCCCCTCTTGCTGCTGAGATTTCTGTCCAGCCTTCATTCTTCCATTCACTCACCTCCAGTACTCTCTGCAACAGGGTCTGAAGTGCCCCTCACCACACCAGTCCTCATTCTGTCATCCTGAGTGGCAGTTCTGTAGCTTCCAGTGGATTCTTTCTTTTTGTGGTTGGACTTAGGGTTCCTGTCCCTTGATAGCAGCTCACAGCATCTGCCTGGGGCCCAGCTGGCTGTGTTGGTTGGTTCTGCCAAATCTGTTAACTTGTTCCTGGTGCACCGTGTTATTTTGATTGTTGGACATTTTGTTTGAAAAATTAGTTTACTCTTCTTTTTATTTATTTTGTTGTGGTAAGGGATATTGAACCCAGGGGCACTTACCCACTGATTTACATCCCCAGTCCTTTAAATTTTTTTTTTTTTTTGAAACAGGGTCTCATGCTGGGTTTGCACTTGTGATCCTCCTGCCTGAGCCTCTGGAGTAGCTGGGATTTCAGGCTGAAGCATTCTGGCACCAGAGCTGGATGGGAAGTTCAAGGCCAGCATCAGCAACTTAGAGAGGCCCCAAGTAATTTAGCAAGACCTTGTCTCTATATAAAAAATAAAAATGGCTGGGATATGGCTCAGTGGTAAAGAGCCCCTGGGTTCAATCCTCAGTTGCACCAAAACAAACAAAAGCATTATTAAAAAATTTTGAGTATGTGTGTAGCTGGGTGCAGTGTAGATTACAGGTGCTTACCCATAATTCCAATGGCTCTGGAGGCTGAGGCAGGAGGATGGCAGGTTCAAAGCTAGTCTCAGCAAGTTAGTGAGGCCCTAAGCAACTTAACAAGATCCTGTCTCTAAATAAAAAATAAGAAGGCTGGGAATGTGTCTTGGTGGTTGAGTGTCCTAGGTTCAACCCTAAGTTATAAAAAAAAATTGAGTAAGAAAATATTTTGGATATAATAAGTTAAATCAAACATATTGTTAAAATCAATTTGTTCTCTTTTCTTTTTTTACTTTGGGGAAATTTAAAGTTATAAGTGTAGCTCAGGCTGTATTTCCACTGACAATGATGTGCTATATTATCTCCATAAGCCGGAGCGTGTCCCCCATGGCCTCCTCCAGCATCTTCTGCCTGTCTCTCTAGTTCCTTCCTCACCCCTTGATCTACCTCTTGTTTCTTGAGTCCCTTTCTAGGTTTAGAATTCCTGGTTCCTATTTCCTCTCCAGCATCTCCTTCCTCTCCCTGCATGGTCCACCCCTGCTTGAACCTCCACCCACGATGGGATGTGCTGATGCAGGGCCAGGGCCCTCAGTGGTGCCCCAGCAGTGCCCACTGCTCTTCCCCCTCCTTCTTGACTCTTTCCACTGAGGAGACACAATCAGAGGCGACTCTGCCCCTCCTTCCATATGGCTCCCCACCTGCAGCATTTCTCTCACCTGGCCTCCCCTGCCTGGCTCCTGGTCAGGGTCACACTCAGCCTCTGTGGAGATGCCCCTCCCACCACCACCTTGCCTCCCTGCTCCTCAGAAAGCACTTTCTCTATGGTGGCCTTCCCCGTCCCTTTCCCTGCCCTCTCTTCCCTCTTCAGTCACTAGAGACTCCCTCCTGGTTTCCTGGGACCTGGCTGGGCCCTCCCTTTCCCTCCCTTGGGCTCCTCATTGACTGTGTCCTGGCTTCCACAGCCCTGTCCATGCCCACACTCCTGGGGAGTGTCGGTCCCTATCACTGCTGTAACTGATGATCACACAACTGGTCTTACAGTTTTGTGGGTTAGGAGTCTCCCTGCATGGAGGTCAAGGTGTGGGCGGGCTGCGTTCCTCCTCAGGCTCTGGGGAGAAACTATCCACCATTTCCAGTTTCCGGGGATGTCTGCATTCATTGGCTTGTGGCCTCTTCCTCCATCCTCCAAAATAGTACTGAAGCTCAGGTCTCTCATTCTGACCTTGACTTTCTAGTTAATACAGAATAATGTCTCCATTTCCACATCTATTAGCCTGTCCTGAGCAGGGTCTGGAGATGGGTCTCTAGCCACCTCCTGACCCCCAGCACTCTCCTCTCAGATGGTATCCTGTCCTTTTTGAAGAACAACAAGCCAGATGACGCACTGTGTGTGCTGGGCCTCACGCTGTCTGACCTGTACCCCCACGAGACCTGGAGCTTCACCTTCAGCAAGTCCCTCCCAGGGCATGGTGAGCTGAGGCCCTGCAATTTCCACCTAGAGGGAGCCTGGCATGTGCTCTTGCTCCAGGGGAGGGTGATGCACACCTATGGAAACAGCTGCGTGATCTTGTCCCCCACATTTTTGCTATTCCTGGGCAAGAGGCTGGCTTGGCTGCTGCCTCAGGGCCGGCCTCCATGTGGGCATGCTGGCAGGGCAGGGTCTCCCAGGACTGGCTCATGCTCAGGCCATGCTGGGTTGCAAGAGAGGATGGGCTGCTTTCACTCCGGGCTCCCTGAAGCTGAGGCTGCCCACTGAGTCTCCTTGTCCTTCCCTCTCCCCAGATGTGGGAGTCTGCAGCTTCGCCCGGTTCTCAGGGAAATTCTCTCAGGTGGGGCCCAATGACCTTGATCCAGGTCTGCTTGAGGAGGCAGCAAATGGCCCTGAGACCCCGCTGCAGGACACAGGCAGGAGCCATTGCTTCAGTGCCCTGGGGGTGGTACAGTGCTGCAAGGTAGGCATGGGGGACAGGAAGAGGGTGGGTGGCTGGGCAGCTGTGGGTGTGTCCTCAGAGGAAGGTCATAGTGGGCTCTGGCTGAGCCTTCTGCCTGGCCAGTTATATTGTCCAGAAGAGGTCAGTCCCTCACTTTACGGAGTGAGGAAATCGAGGCTCAGAGATGCCAAGTGTTTTGCCAAAGGCCACATAGCTCTGGGGGACAGCTGGGATCTGACCTACGATCTGCCTGGCTCCCAAGCCCCCATGCTGTGTGGCTTCCCCTGAGCCCCCAGAGGGGCAGGTGTGCTTGGACCATTTGCCAGCAGTCTGTCCTCACCAGGGGTTGGGGGTCTGTGGGTAGAGGGCAGGGTTGTGAGGCAAGGCTGGTGGTCTTCTCCCTCAGGTCACATGCCACGAACTCTGCCACCTCCTGGGCCTGGGGAGCTGCCGCTGGCTCCGCTGCCTCATGCAAGGGGCGCTCAGCCTGGATGAAGCCCTGCGGCGGCCCCCAGACCTCTGCCCCATCTGCCTGAGGAAGCTGCAGCACGTCCTAGGTTTCCGGCTCGCTGAGAGGTACAAGGTAAGCGCTGTCCCGTCTCCCAACTTGGCCCAGGGGAAGCCACACACAGGCAGAGGACCTGTGCTGTGTCCTGCTCCTCCAGGACCTCACAGATCTCCTTGGTGGCAGATTGAGTCTTTGGCTGGTACCTGACAAGTGGGAGCACCCTGCACTTTGGCTGGAGGGCAGGTCACCAACCCTGAAAGGAGGAGGGAACCAGACCAACCCAGTCCAGGACAGGTGCTCCTGCCTCCTGGCAGTGCTAGGAAGGGGATGCTGCCCTCTGCTGGCAGCACATGGCATAGCCATGGAGCAGGGTCCCCTTTTTTATTCCCATAGGGAGATTTGTTTGCAAACTCAGAAACTTGGATCTATTTCTCTTTAAATCCACTTCTGGCTGAAAACAAATTTATCATGGAGGCACAGGACCTATCAACTTGAAAACAAAAAGTTGTCAGAACTTCACTGGGTTTAAGGCCGGACTCTTGTGGTTCTGGGGAGCCCCTTCCTCAGGCAGGTTTCTGGCAGGATAGTGGCTCTCAGCCTGCCCTGGTGTCACAATTCCCTGATGGGATGGGGTTCTCACCTGGACGCATTAGAACAGGCCCCTGTGATGCTGGAGGCCTGAAGTAGAGGCCAGATATTTTCAGATTATAGCACTGACTCCCCTGGGAGCAGAGGGACAGCTCTCTGGGTGTGGCCCTTCCCTAGTGGGGAGCCAGGAGCCTGTGTTGCTGCAGAACGGGGCAGCTGGTGTGGTTGTCACTTGTGGAGACACCCTGTATGGGCCAGCTGCCCAGTCACGGGGGCACAGGCAAAGGGCTTGGTTGGTGGCAGCTCTTATTGTCCTGGTGAGGCTGAGAAATGGGAATTGAAGACAGCTCTGGCTGTGAAAGGGTTTGATTTCTCACTTATGTCCTTCATCTGGGGGCTCATTCAACCATCTGATGGGAACTTGTAGAACTTTACCCAGTTGAGGGTGGGGGTGTGGTGTTCAGCAGACCCTGGGTGAGCTCTGAGGGCTGAGGTGGTGGGTGCAGCATCTCCTCCCATGATGCTCCCTAAAGTGGCTGGGCCCTTGGGAGCAGCCCATCCTCTCAGGACAGGGCTCAAGGACCTGGAAGGACAATGACTGTAATAGGAGGGGAGCTATGCAGGAGATTTGCCACATGTCCTGGGATGGCCCAAGGACTCTAAGAGCCATGGAGCCACCCAGGGCCAGTGTCTCTGCTCAAAGAAAAAGCCCAGCTTTGTGGTGCCGGCCAGTGCCCACTGATTGACTGAGCAGAGCTGGAAAGTGCTGCTCTTTGTGACGCCCATCCTGCAGACATGGCACACACAGGGGACCTCAGGAGCACAGGTAATGGGAGGCCATGGTGAAACATTTAGGTAGTGATGTGTTTTGAGTGTTTTTTTTTTGCCTTAACATTTTCTGACTTTAATCATGAGCTTTGAGGAAGGGCTGGGTTAGCAAGAGGTGCCCAGTTCCTGAAACGCGAACAGCAGGCTCCTGGGACTTGGAATGTCTGGCTGTGGCACAGCCTGGACTCCAGCCCCTAGCAGTGCTGGGCAGCAGGGCCCTGGTGGCACCAGCTTGCCACAGGCCTCAAGGTGACTGAATGCTGCTGGGTCCTTGGGCTGCTCGCTGGCCAGACAAGTGGCCACCAGAGAGAATCAGCCCATTTCTCCCTCGCAGAGACTCCACGCCTGGACCCAGGCAGCAGCAGGTTCGTGGCCCTGCCAGGAGGCAGGAGAGCCGTCTGTATCGGAGGACACCCCACCCTTCAGCGCAGACTCTGGCATGTGCTGTGAGAGCGACTCAGAGCCTGTCACCAGCCTGTCAGAGCCACTCACCCCTGATGCATGGAGTCATGCCTTCCCTGAGGGACCCGAGGATGGGCAGAGCTCCCTGGTGGCCTCAGAGGCTCTGCCGAAGCTTGAGGGCCCTGTGGAGGCCATTGAGGAGCACGGACGGTGGCTGGCCACATGTATCCAGGCCCTGGAACGAGAAGTGGCCGAGGAGGAGCTCGCGCAGGTGGACAGGGCCGTGGATGCCCTGGACCCGTGGGAGATGTTCACAGGGCAACTCCCGGCTACCAGGCAAGACCTGCCCTGTGTCAGGGACAGTGCAGGGCTACGCAAGGCCCTGGGGGACAAGCTCTCCTCCCTGAGGCGGCGGCTGAGCACACGTAGACTCCCCAAGGCCGAGTCCTCCCCCTGCCGCTGGGAGGGGGGGAGTTAGTGCAGCAAGATGGCCTGTCCCCTGCAGAAAAGTCAGCGCCTGGCGTCTCTCCCCAGGACACCAACTGACCACTGCTGTCCAGCCACCAAGGGCATGGTGAGCCCAGCAGCACTAACAGAAGCCCTCAGAAGTTGAGGAGGCTGCTTCTAGCTGGCTCCTTGGGTCCCTGTGCCCACTGCTCACCCCAAAGCACAGCCTGGTCCCAGGACCCCCATGGCGGAGTAGCCTGCAGCCTGGGGAGCACCCCGCCCCTCTCCTGGGTGCGACCGTGGACTGAGGGCCAGGGGGGAGCTGTGCGCTTGTCTTCTCCGTGCAGGCTGGGCTTTGGGCCTGCTGCTCCCCTGGTTACTTCCTGTTGGAGCTTGAAAAGTTATCCAGGCCAGTGGTGACCCTGGAACATGGGCCGTGCTGCTGCTAACTGGGCTCCAGGGTCCCCTCAAAGTGGAAGCCATGGGGTTTTGTTTGTTTTGTCTCTGAGCTTGAGACTCACGGGGGTCTGTCCTTTTGGACCCACACTGCGGGAAGGCAGGTGTCTAACCTGCAGGTTTAAGGGGCAGGAGGGTGGAGTCTCCTTATGCCCCGAGGTCGCCTGCTGTCACTCAGTGGTGAAAACACACTGCAGCCCCATTCTCGGGACTGTTTTCTGACCAAAGTGGCTGTGCTGATAGTGGGCACTAGGCCGCAGTGGTGCCATGTGGGGTCAGTTTGTACTAGGCCACCAGGTGCCTGTGCTGGTGCCAGCGGGGTGTAGCTCATGTCTTCGGTGACATCTTTTTGGCTGGGTCCTATCCATTCCTGAGAGCGCTTAGGACATCGTCCACACGTGGCATTGTCTGTGTCCCTTTCAATTTTTTGGTCCCAAGGATTGAACCCAAGGGTGCTTAACCACTGAGCCACATCCCAAGCCCTATTTTATTTGAGATGGGGCCTCACTAAATTGCTTAAGGTCTTTCTAAGTTGCTAAGGCTGGCCTTGAGTCTGTCCTCCTGCCTCATTTGATTCCCACCCCCTCAAAGTGACCTTTTTATCACTATCAAATGTCCCAGCCTGAGACAGTAGGATCCTGCAGAGTGAAGCAGGTGGGGTCCTGGCTTTTCCTCACTGGAAAGAGGCAAGAACAGGAAGCTTAGACAGTTTCGAATTGTTTCTGAGAAAAAACTACAAATATAGACCTAGAGGGAGTCTGAAGCTGCCTTGTGACTGTGACACTACTGTGGGGCAAAGGGCAGGTCCCAGGCCCAGAAAAATGCAAAGGGTCGAGGCCATCTGAGCTGGGAAGCAAAGTCACACCTCTGACACAGTATCGGCACCCTCCCCAGGCCCCCAGGCCATTCTTGCCATCTCATACAGGTGTCCCATGGTCCAGGTTGTCCTTGCAATGAGATGAAGGGACTCACGCTACGGCTCATGCAGCTGCCTGTGTCTGCGAGCAGGGAGCACAGCTGGGCCTCCACGCCCAGGCCCTGGGAGCCCTCCATCAGGCCCAGGCTCCCTGGGTAGCTGTGGCCTTCCTAAGGCAGGTGGGGCTCTACCTAAGCCTCATGTCAGAGCCTCACCCTGCTGGGCAGTCACTGAGGCCCCTGCAGGTCCCTGGGAGGGACACAGACACCACCTCTGAATGGAGGTGTGGCAAGTTTCTGGAAGGTCGTACCACTTGGGGAAATAACACTGTGGCCATCCGTGAGAAGCTGGCCCTGGTCGGTGTTGGTGGCCTGGGTTTCACTATCATGATGGCCACATGGTCTTACCTGAGGCCACTCTTCTGTCCTCTGCAAGAGGCGAGTTACTGGAGTGTTGGAAGATTCAATGGGGATGACAAATAGCCAGGTGTGGACGGAGGGCAGGAGGCCATCAGGGTCATCAGCCCCTGGCCTTTGGCTCCCAACTGTCATGAGTCCCAGGAGGGCACGTGGAGGTGGGAGGCAGCAAACCACTAAAGCCAGAAGCTTCACCCAGAGGCTTTTGAAGACTCCTTTTGTCAGGAGGACATTTTGAAAAGCATCTTCCTCTGCCATGTTTCCCTCCTCACATGCTGGCCCAGGTTCTGTCCTTGACAGGCGGAGGGTAATGGGACAGTCACCATGGGAGGAGGGTAAGGAGAGGAGGAGCCAAGTGGCACTCACGGACCTTCCTAAACTGGAGCTGGAGATGTCGCAGCCGTGGTGTTGACAGGTGTGGTCTGAAGGGTCAAGGGGCCATGGCATCTAAAATGTCAAAGAAACGCACAAGCTGACTCAGCTGCTCCTCACCTGCTCTGTCAGGGGTCCCTGGGGTGCATGAGGACAGGTTGACAGATCCTCCAAGAGCCTGGCACATCTTGGTCAAGCTGGAGGCGCTTGAGAGAAACTAAGTAGTTTGGGGTCATGACACGTCACCT